TCACAAAATACCTCTAAATACATTGCACGAGATGTATTTTAATTACATCCAGGCATTGTGAAGTACATTTCACACTAACATTCCACTTGTGTACTCTGACAGCTCCAAAACACCACAAGCTAATCCAATACAAAACAAAAAGCTACTGCCAGAGTGGACAGAGAAAATTGGAATGAACTAACCACAGGCATCAGGAAACGTTCTAAACCATATAACTCCTAAAGGATAAGGCCAGTCATTTTCTATATAAACTGTATTTTCAGCATTCTCCACACAAAGACTAAAACAAACAATGAATTTCCTCTAATCATCATTAAAGTCTATGAGGCTATCAGTCCTAGATTAACCTATTTGTCTGTGCCTCCATTGTTGTTCAAAAAACAATTAAAAATGCATCAGGGAAGTGCACTGCTGCACTGGATGACATGCTTCCTCATTATGAAAAAGAAGACGTTGCCCCAAACGCTGCACACTGCCATGACTCCATACAGCACCTGAAGTAAGGAAGAGTCATCTGTGCACGCAGGAGACCTCGGGATATTTTTAACAAATATCAGGGTCTGGTGTTTCATAATGAGGAAACATGTCACCCAGTTTAGCAGTTCATTTCCCTGATGTGTTTTAATTGGTTTGGAACAACAATAGAGGTCTATGACACAGACAAACAAGGCGATCCGGGACTGACAGTTCGACGAACATTAACCGTTAGTAGAGACAATTCATTGTTGGCTTTAGTCTCTGTATGGCAACTGTTGAAATTACTGTTAATATAGAAATGACCGGGCTTCTCTTTAAGCAGAGCATAACGGACTGGTGCAAAGATAATCTCGTCACTGCTTTGGAACCAGGATATGAAATAACCAGTAAGGCAAATGTTGAAGGTAATTCAAGGAAAACCATTCATCATCGCTCAGCAGGTAGTTCCACAATCAGCCCTGTGGACAGTGGTTGTGATAAACTGTTTATATCTCCCTTTGGATAACACATTAAACATGACTGGAACTAGTGTGTCATTTGATATTGTCATGTCTACACAAGTTAAAATATACAGTCAGTACAGAAAGTTTTTAGACCCTTTCAAAGTTTTCCACATTTTGTTATGTTTTGAACTCAGTGTGAAATCTGTTTTTTGGGGGCTTTTTGTTAATTTATTAAAAATAAATGACTGAAATATCCCATCAGCACAAGTATTCATACCTTTCAGTTAGTACTTGGTTAAAGCACCTTTGGCATCAATGACATCTTCAAGTTTTCTTGAGAATGAACCTGCAATGGTTTGAAAACTTTCCATACTGACTGTAAGTACCAACAGTGACAACATTTATTTTATTGTCTTCTTTTAACTAGCATTAATTTAAACTTAAGCTATAAGTAACATAAAATGTTGCTAAGCGTTCCCCAGATGATTGGACACCTACTGCCAATGTGCAGAGGCTAAATACACTGAACTGCAGCTCATACATCTCCAACAGTCTGAACTGCACTGTACAGCCATGACACTTAGTTTTGCTGGTGTGAAGCTGTAGTGGAACCGACACTGGTGGCCTGCAGCATTAAACAGCGATGGGCTGAGAGACGTGAGCACTTGACTCTGCCCTCCTCCTTGATGGGAACTCACTGTGTTCTGACCTTTAAGGTCCCCCCAATATCTTGCTTCATGTCTCTCTTGCTGTTTTTCTCCTTCCTGCTATCTCGCTGTGAGGCCTGGAGACTTGACAGTTGATTTGAAGGAGTGCAGCAGCACCAGTGTTGTTAATGGTCCCCCCACATACTGTACATCAACACCCGCCCCATCTTGTTTTCTTAGTCGAGTCTGTCTTAATATGCTCTGTCGTTCACATCTCTTCCTCTCTTGCTCTCTCTCCATTTTAGTGCTGCCTATCTCCCTACCTCTTGCCATTGTTTTAATGAGAGTGAAAGAGGAAGCGGGAGAGTTGTGTATTAGTATGCAGAGCCTCCACCACCTCTCTCAGCAGAAACCTGCTACAGTATGTAGGCTGCTCAGGGCGATGGGACTAAGGATCCTCATAAAGAGACAGAAGGAGGATGGTACAGATGTGATTATGAAATATTTTCACATTTCTAGTCTTTTCACCACGAGCACACTTAGTATCACATTCTTGATCACATCAATGCTTTAATGCAGGCAAATATGTCCATCTCAGGGCAGTGATTTGATTAAGTTGATGGAGTCCTGTTTTTGAATGAGTGAATGGCCTGAGCTGACATGTTCATATGGGCCCCACTTGGGTTCTTGACTTGTTTAGTCCATCTGTCCCTCATAGCCCCCTTGTGGGTCCATGTCCCTTCTGCCTATATCTGCGGGGCAGTAACGTTGGTAAAGGTGCAGCTATTACAGCCCCAGATGGAATATATGTGAGAAGAACATATGCTGCCCAAAGCAATTTGTACAATAAATTCATCTTTGTGATGTTCTGCTTTCCTGAGCCAGACAGTTTAGAGTAGTGTACATGTGATGAAAGACTAATATGGCAAACCCTTATTTTGGCCTGCTCATCCATGATATTTGGGTCAATTAATTTAAATTTTGCTCTAATTATTAATAAGGGAATTTGTATTATTATTATTTATATTATGATAAATAAAAAGCCAGTGTTCAGAATTGTGAATGTGAAATGTGCACAGCCTGTTTGTCTACCAGGAAGATAATGATTGGTATATGTATTTATTATTAATAGTAGTAATACTGGAAAGCAACTCAAGTTAGTGCCGTACTGATAGATGCTCCTTTTGAAGAGTTTGAATTCCTGCACCTGAGAAACTCTCTGCAGTCCTTACTGTAGAAGAATAAAGTAAAAATAGCTAATTTACTTTTTCATTCTTTTGTTGTACCACTCACCCAAGGCCCTTTATTTGTCGAGACGTTCTGGCACCACATATCCCCATTTGACACTTTGATCCATAAACTCACCATCTTTATTGCCTGCCTCTACTTTGAACTACCAGAAAACATCCTGCAAGAAAATGCAGCTTCATCCAAAAAAGCTCTTGATCTATCCAGTAAGATACAAGTAAAGAAAAACAAGCAATGGGCTCAAAACAGAAAGTGTCCTGTGCACAGCAAACAACACCAGACCTTTTGTCTCTTGAGTTATTTGACTCTTAATCGTGTTTTTAAGTTCATATCGCGCTGCAGCTGCACACTGCAATTCAAACCAACATTGCAATTTATTTTACTGAAGCAATGAATACTAGGAGCACTTTCCAAACACACTGAGGGTTCAGTCTTTTCAGGGGCTGCAGTCCTTTACCTTAAAGGTCCAAAAGCATTCACCATCCAGAAAGTGTTTGCAGTGACTATATCTTGCTCAGTCTGGGTTTCCTTCTTGGTCTGGGCACAAATTGGTCCCTTAATAGTCTCCTTCAGAGAACTAAGAGCACCCCTAGGATGCACACAGAGTCAGACAACTCCTGTCATGCATCCTTACACTGTCATCATCACAGTACTTGTGAAAAATATAGTCCCTTAGACTTGGGTTGCACAGCAGGAGGCAAGACAGAACATGATATCACTGGCAGTATCTACAAAAAGACCTGTCATTTATTTGCTGTTAGGGGAATGTGCCCTCACCACTGAACCAACAAATTATCAGGCCAAACAAGAGGAAATGGTTTTCCATTGTCTTTTAAGTTAGCACACTGACCTATTTGACCCACAAGGAATTCCTCAAAGGATCTGTTGTGCCAATTGATTTGAGGATGGTGCTCAATCTAAACTGCTGAGCTTTAAACAAACTATAATAAATAAAAACAACAAACACTACCCAGTCATTTTGTTTCAACTGGCTTTAAGGAAAATACAATATGATAAGCAAACTGTCTATAAAAATGACACAAATGCTCAGAGCAGCAGAAATTTGTTGTAGATTAATACTGATCTTTCATTTTCTTCTGCGTTCCCTCACTGTGATCATTTCATAATTACTTCAGCTCTCATTGTTGTAAATGTTAGTGCAATGTAATTGTTTTCTTTATTGTTTCGACACAAAAAGTTTTTTCTCTCTGTGATTTTGAAAAAAAGCCCATTTTGGATTCAGAAATAGGTAAATATGAAGGGTGTTATTTCAAACTCCATCTCAAAAAGTAAGCCGCACTTTTCCCCCCTCAGACAGTTATTGGTACAAAAATAAGCAACTTCTGCATATTTTTTCTTTTTAAGCTGAAAGGCTAGAAGGAAATTGCTCGCCTAGGGTGAAACACATATTTGATGTTTATGCAATGGCAAAGCGAGTTTAATTGTATAGTACATTTCATACACAACATAATAAAACACCAACATAAGATGATATCATCTATTTTACTGAAAGTTAGGAGCAGAAGCCTACAGTAAATGTACAGTTACAGCACAAGATGATTCAAAATGTCTTTATTAGACAGCCACAGCACAGAGATGAAGGGAAATGATGGAGAAAAACTACAACAAAGGGCCAGTCAAAGCAGTTACTGTGTGTTTCAGGGCCACACCAGCCAACATGTTCTTAAATTAGCCATTATGCATGCCTGCTACGTTATATTTAAGGTGTGTCTATAGTTAAGGAACCTTATCCTTGATAAGGTACAAGCTGTGGTCATGGCAAATTAATTACTCTTAGCTTTAATGATGTTAATGAAGATAATCAACACTTCCATCTACTGTACATGGCCAAGGGCAAGCCATGCCTTTTGTAGCTCATGAGCCGTTCAACGGGGCAGAGGCAATGTAAGTTGGTGCAAACCAATTGAAAGCAAATAGAAAAATTTGTGTAACCAAAAAAAAAACTGTGCCAGTACTTTCACTAGCAATATGTTTCGCTCTATATATATTTCTGCATTTTCACCTCACTATAAATTTTCCTTCTCATTTACTTGATGCTTGAACCATTTGGTAAAACCAGCTGTAGTTACTACATTAACATAGACCCTTATAAAGTTGATATGGGGAACATTAAGTCTGCTGCTAAATTTACTCTGTTTTTATCTTCACCAGGGGAAAATATCTGGCTCCTTGCCTGTTTGGTGCTGAACATGAAGTTAGATTAGAGTCAGGTTGTTGGAGCTTTTCCACTGAGAACAGCTGTTTGTAGTGTCTTGAACCAAAACAGTAAAGCTGTGGTCAATGACACCTCAAAGGCACTAAAACGGGCTGCGAAGCAGAGGAGAACTGGTGAGTGATTTGTTTTTTTTTTGATTCATCACTACTAGTATCTAATATAATACATTCAAATTTACTGACCAACCTGCTCCAAAAACACACTAGTAGGATAAATTTAGCAGGAAAATGTCAACATGTCCTTACTGGTGGGGTTTCTTGATCTTGACAGTCACTCTGTCCACAGACAGTTTTTGAAATGGGTGGCTGTCTGGCTATGCAGCTCTTTTTCATCACCCTGACCATGATGCAGTGCTTTCCTTGTCAGCAGCTGACAAGTAATAACCACCCAGCGAAGTGGACGAAAGCAGAGCTCGACCTTGGAGTGACAGGATGCAGACAAGGAGCTGCAGGAGGTATTTTCATCTCCAGATTCTCACAAAGCCATTTACAGACAGAGTTTAATTGTTTAATTATAGCGTATGCCCTGTATGTTACACCCCTGTCCACACACATTCAGGGTTATGGTTTGTGTTTGGTCCTTTTGTTCCAGGGGGGAACCTTAATTCTTCAGCATTGTAGTTTTGATAGATCAGTGCACTTCCAACTGTATGTGCTAATGCATGTTTCAGCACTGTGCCAGATATGTGTGCATATTTCCACAAGTACCCACACATCAGTAGAGTGTCAGCTTGATACACACACATTTAATCTTCCACTCACACCAGACTGTGTGGTATGCATGTACTCACACTCACATGTACACACACACACACACTGCACACACAATAATTCATTACGTATTGGTACAGCCACTGATCTAGCTGTGCAGTTAATTCTGCACAAAAATACCACCTATACACACACACACACACACACACACACTCTCACAGATACAGAGAAGGGATTAATCAGAACTTTGACCCCAACTCTAATTGCAGACCTAGTAGTATTTCCTGCTGTTGCCTGCTGATTGGTTATCTCTTTATGGTGCAAACTCTGGTCTTTTACTCTGGAACAAGACGGTCCATGCTGAGAGAGTGATACAGTGAGAGTAATACCAATCAGGGGAAATCAGCTTGGAGTACATCCTCCCATCCTTCACCTGTCCCCTCTACTCGTCTCCTCTTAACTCTCCTTTTATTATCTTCACCCTGCACTCTCTGGCTCTTCCTCATCCTGACTCCACTTTACCTACAATTTCTTCTCCTCGCTCTCTCATTCTGCCCAGCTTGCCCTCTTCTCTTAAGAGCGAGGGTGTTTCATAGACTTGAGTGCATTTATGGAGCCTTTTGTATCGTTGGCTGCTTGGTGTTTTAAAAGTTCATGATCACCAGTTTGGCTCAAGTTTTTAAAATGGGATGCAATAATAGAAGGAGTAATGATTCCAAACATGACAGTCTGGTCATTAATCTATTGTTTATGATAAACATCCCATTCCTAAACCGTTAATGCATTGTTCTGATGCTAAAATAGGCTCCCTTCTTCTGGGAAGTCCTTAAACAACGTATCGCAACCTAGTTGTAGGAATTTCATATCATTCAGCCAAAAGTGCATTAGTTAGTTCATTTAGCGCTATGTTACTTCAGCGTTCCTACTGTCAGTGTGAATGCAAACAGAAAAAAAACCCTTGAAGGCATGTAGCTCCAGGGGGAGCTCGACAGTATGGTAGTCCTTAGAACTAAATCCTTAAAATGTTTGGTCTGAAAATGTCTAATGTGTGAGAAAGTCTGATTTTAGCACCGGAAGTGGAATCGTCAAAAACAGGATTCACTGGACACCAGCACTTGTCATGCACTGAGCCAATTCTGCGGGAGGCGAAGGGACTAAAAGCTGTAAGTATATTGGACTAAACCAATTCTCATTTCAAAAATGGTGTAATCACAAACGTTCTACATGCTTAAATGTTCGACCACTCCACTACACTGATGTAATAAAAGACAGCACCTTCCTTCATACTAAGCAAATTATGTAGATTACGCACCATTTTCAGTTTGTAAAATGAGAAGAGTTGCAATTACATGTAATTTACAATGGATGAGGAAGCTGAAATCAGATCTTACATTTGCATCAGGGAAAACACCAAACAAAACAAGTCTCCTCTTCCTCTGTGTAGCAAACTTCATTCATTATGCAAATATGATTCACGCTATTTAACTCTGATTCTGAATTCATTATACAAACATATTTTAGACTGGAAATGAAAATCTTCAAAACACAAACATGCAACAAACACACACACTGGGAAAACAAAGAGTGGCAGGAGGGAGACATTAACATGATGTCTTGAGAGAAAAACAGTCACCCCCTCAACCTTACACCATCCTCTTCTTTACTTTCCCCTTCGCCCACCTTCCTTTGCTGGATCCCACCTCTAACTTTCACCCCGTCTCTCTTTCTCTAGCTTAATTGGTGTTTGGCCATATCAGCAACCCGGCAGCAAACTGTTTGACCTGCTCTGAGCCCAGCTGGAACAAACCTACCAATTAGCTTCTTGTTATCTTGATAAAGGATGCCTTTTTTGTAGATTGGTGTGTGTGTGTGTGTGTGTGTGTGTGTCTATGAATGCGAAACATAGAGAGAAACATTGGGGAACTATGTGTGTGTTTGTACACCTGAGAATAAACCTTTTTGTGCTGACCAGCGAATGTGTGTGTGGGGTTAGTGTGTGGAAGTTTTAGTTTTATACCAGGATAACTGTGTGTGTATTTGTGTAAAGCAGTCTGTCCACACAAGCTGCCAGCTCTTCTCTCTGAGCTCAGGCCTTTCTTTCCTGTCACTCATCCTCCCTCACTCCTTGAAGGACGTGTTACTGTGTTTTCTGCTGGGGAACTGAATAACTGGCTGGGCTCAGAATCATCCTTGTGTCTTTATGCATGCACCTAAATGTATTATTGTAATTTTTTTTATTAGCTTTTGTGTTTTATTGTTTTTCTCTCTCTCTCTTTTATTGGGTTTGCACACTTATGTCCCAGTAGGTTCAAAAGACAAAAGAATATTTTTCAAATAAAATGGAAAGCAGAGGGCAACTCCCAGAGAAAAATCCAATTTAGAAGAGCTCAGACTTCATAGTTTCATATCTGTTTCTTGTTTCTGTCTTTGCCTTTAAAAAAACTATGGCAGAGCACTGTGGCATCACAATAATGCATCCAACATGAAATAACACTTGGAAAGTGAGAGAGGCAGGAGCTTTAAGAAAACAATTAGGTAAACGACTGCAGTTCACCTGATTAAAATGTTTCCCTAAAGGCAACAGGACTCTGGATGTACATCCCAGTCGCTGGTGTCCACTCTGACCACCTCTATGGCACCTCAGCATGGATAATACATTTACAGCTTCATTCCCAAAAAACAAGAACAAAAAAGCATATGAACATAATCCAGGTAATTTATCAGCACAACATAATGGGAGACCAGTTTAGTGCAATACAGCTGTAATGGCTAAGAGACAAGGTTGTCCAACTAGACCAAATTTATTTGGATCCATATTACTTACACGGTGCAACAGCAAACAGTTTCGCAGCCGTGAAATGCAGAGAATAGGGTAGTATTTCAGACAGAACCTCAGCAGTTTTGTTTTTACATCCAGAATCAGCTTCAGATTCAGGAGATCTGACGTTTGTAGGCATGTCTACAGACATCTCTGGAAGTCAGCTCATATGCTAATGTCTAAAATAAAAATATAAAGATGGCATCATGTTATTTGCTCTGAATTTATATAGAATATTGCTCTGTTCTGAACAAGCGGCAACCTCAGAGGCTGAGAAATGTAGCCAATGTGGAAGTGTTAAAACCACTTGTGGGAGTCAGTCCCCATAGACTCCCATGTTAAAATATCTGACTTTACAGCTGAAATAAACATGTTTACAGCCTGGTACAAAAATGACAACTGTATGGATGTGAATCTTTATATAACTCATTCATTTAAATGATATTGAGGCTTAAATAATGCATAACTAAGGGCATGGCCACTTTAAGTGACAGGCAGGAGGTTCCCACCCTAGGTGGCTAGCTGCTAGCTGCTAGCTGTCTAGCGAGCGCCACTCATGCTCTACCTCTTTGCCATTAGCTACCTCTTTGGATTAGCTGTAGCAAGAGAAGTGAAGCGCTACCAAGCTGGACTTGAGCTTCAAAATAACTGTTCAAAAAGGGTGACATCACAGTTGGTTAGTCCATCTTTTATACACAGCCTGTGGTTCTGAAACATTAAAGGAACCTTTATGACTACTCCTACAGTACACAACTCCTACGACTATTCATTAAAAACCTAAAGTCTGACAGTCAGTGTGCACCCTCTGTAAATTAAACATCTAGCAGACTTTGAAATCTTGTTCATCTTTTCCCCGCTTCCTATCATTTACTATCTGACTATTTCTTTCTCCCCCTTTCCTCCCTCTTTCTATTTTTCCTTATATGTTTGTCTCTCTACATATCTCCAGCCTGCATGTCCATCTCCCTTAGCTTTCTTCTAGTTCTTCATTCTTTGTCTTATACACACTTTTTTTATTCCCTTGAGAGTCAAACTAACATTTGAGCTCTTCAGGGCTTCCGTCTTTTCTGCCCACATCTCATTTTGCATTTTTATTCCATCCTGTTCTATTTCTTTCTTAACAATATTTCTTCATGACTACTCTGCATTTTACCACTAAAGTACATGGATCATACAACCCTCCTTTGAAATGAGCCATAACATCCTCTAAATGCAGATAGAATGTTACTCATCTAAATGCCAGTCTCAGTTGTGGCAGAAGACTGAGTTATGGTGATGCCCTCGGGCGTGCATGAGAATACTAATCTCAGCTATATGTTTCCTCTGTGTAGTTTTTCCTCAACTTATTGACATCTGAGTATATGAGTGGATGCCTAATGCACAGAATGATATAGCAGACTGTAGCAATGCAGAGAAAGCTGGTTGTGCAAGTTTTGACTACTAGTGTCAAAATAACTCAATCAAACTGCATCAAAGGGTATGAACATATTGTCAGCTACCTGTACGTGGCAGCAAACAGATGTCTACTGACCTGCCCAGCAAAAACACATGAACATCCTTGTGGAGTTGCACAGCCTGGTCAAAAGTTGTGTTCATAGATTTCAGACAAGAGTGCTAAACACCAAGTCTAAGAAATCTAAAGTTATGTGTCTTGCCTTGTTTATGCTTGTGAAAAAACAAAAAAAAAACTCCAGATACTTTTCAATTTACGTTGTACATGAGCAGCTACACTGTCCACCTCTAGATGTCTTACATGGTTTCATTTAAGTTACAGTTTCATACCCAGTGAGGTGAGATTTTTATGAAAATGTGACAGTTTATTAGAACTTTTATATAAAATAACTATAAATGTTTGAGGTAGAACTAAAAGACCTAAATGTACTATACTGTATATAAAGTAACTACAACCAGCTGCACCTTGATCAGCTACAACAGCCCCTCGCACTAATAATACTGATGTATTATTATTAATTATTATATTAATAATCGAATTATGTAATAGGCTATAATCATCACACAGAGATCAATTTACTTGTGACACTTTGAGAATATTTTCACGATATTGCTTGCATACTTTTACTTAAGTACACTTTTGAATGCAAAATGTTTACTAGTGGTGGCGTATTTCTACACTATTATAGTGATATTTTTACTTAAGTAAAGGTTTTGAGTACTTCCACCACTGAGAAATACAGTACATAACAGAGATCATGATCGTGAGTCAAAGCCTCAAGGCCAGTGAAGCTCTAACTGTGTTTAATGAAGTCATAGGATATCTGTGTAAAAACCACAGAACACTGTGCCTCTGCAGATAATGAACATTTATTGAAAAGATTCTATTGAAATAAGATATTTGTGAACATTTTGATTGTCATGTAAATGTCACACAATCATTTATAGTGTCTGTACGGGAACATTAAATGGCTTCACATCTTTAAATGTCAATAAAGTATATTCTATTTGAAGACAGTAGCACGTTTCCTCATCATAAAAATATACTGCAATGAAACAATAATGAGTTATTTCCAGCAGTAAGGTGTAAGGTGACTGAAAGATTTCCCTCAGGAGTTGGTAGAGATTTAAAAAAAACAATAGACTTAAAGACAAGTGAAGACTTTGGCCAAGAGGCCAGTAACATGACTCGAAATGAATGCTAATGGTGCTAATGTTAATGTTGCTCCAAACTTGCTGAATGTGTTGTTGTGCAGAGAGCACTGAGGTGAGCCGACAACCCAGGACATAAAACTAAAATTACACAATAAAAATGGCCCTCAGCCACATGAAATTATTTTACCCTAGCTGCTTAAACTGCCAGGCGCTCTGGGAGTAACCAGCTAAAAAGTCAATGTTGTCAATCTGACGTCAGGCAAACACATGTTGAATTACACATACAGAAACCCTGATAAGGCCTTGGATGTACAATTTCAATCCAACATACATACAGTATTACCATCATGTAGAGGTTTCAAATTATACTTATAATTCCTTTTAATGTAAAACCATAATCCCATCCCTAATATGATTAATACGAACTCTTCATCCGATGATTTTGCTGTCATTCTAGCAAAAGAATTAGGACTGAAGAGGATTATGGAGCAGCACCTTTTAACAAGAAGCTCCTGGTCCTTCCTCCTTCAGCTACAGCATTGCCTTTTGTAATCTTTCTCTCCTCTATTTCATCATTTATCGAAGAGGAGGTGGCGTTGTGTATGTGCATGATAGTATATTTACTGATCATTGAGTGTGTGTTATGCTAATAATGAGAGTGGCAATCAGTGTGAGCATCCACAGTGGATGAATAGACAATAAAACCTTGCATCAATTATTAACGGGCTCCCTTTTTATAAATCACATGTGAGACAGTTTGCATGTGCACTCTGTGTGTGTATGTCAACTGAGGAGGGCTCTCTTCATGAATAATGAATGTTCAATTCTCACCTCAGCCAGGGATTTCACACCTTTCAACCTCGAGGATGCATGTGTGCGTGTGTGTGAGAAGAACAGATAAAAAATGTGATTATGTGTTGATGTGTGTGTTTGTGTGTGAGAGAGAAACAGAGAAGGAATGGGATAGAAAGAAAGCATGCTGGTGAAATCTGTCCTGGTCAGGGGTCTTTTCCATTTGTGCATGTGTTCGTGCTCTACGTGTGTGAGCGTGTAACTCTCAAGTACTGAATTATTCAGATGTTGGGTGAGAGTGGCCGTGAGCTGTCACCTGCAACGTGCTTTTATTATTATGTTTGGACTTTTCATCAGAACAATGGGTTCCCAAATGAAGAAGCGTCTTCTCTTCATTTCAACTTGTTTCTCCTGTCTGTGGAGAGAACGGCACACCGCTGCCTCCCTAAGCCTGTTATGGAATCAAACCACTGCTGTTTGGAGACTGCCAGGGGATGTAAGAACATACCCATCATGTCCTTACATGAAACATACCTCACTGTTTGCTCGTTCCTTTCTTCCTACCTGCTTCTGCTGCTTTGCAGTGTCAATGTCTCCATGTGTTTTTATTGGCATATTCAGTGCTTATACTGAAACAATTAGTAGATAAACCTATTAACTGCTGAACAGAAAATAAGTAAACTGACTCCAATATATTTGCTTTTCATCCTCTGAAAGCAGGGATTAGCTCCTTTCTTTGTGTAGATTACTG